GCAAAGGAAATATTTTATTTAATAATTTACAACTCACAAGTTTTGTAATTTATGACTCAAATATTTAGACATATGTCATTTGTACCTCCATTGATTCCACTTATCCAGAACTCTTAACAAATATAGGGAGTAGACCTGTTTATCTAATTCCAAAAAATTTACATTCCTAATCCTTATGCTGTGCAACTTTTTTTTTTTTCCAAAAGTGATGAAAAATGTGTGGCCCAAAATAGCAGAGTACATGACTGTAGTATTCCTGAGGTGAAAGAAAGAAGTATCTCTCTTCAACTGCATTTCGTTTTTTATTTGGCAGGTCTTTATAAATTGAAGCTGCACAAAAGTTGATTATAGAATTGATGAAATGCCAAGGAATCCTTAAGATTAAGAAAGGAACCCAATAATTGAATATAAAAAAATTAAGCAATTATGATATGGTTAACTTTAAAAGTAAACCTGCCCGTTATTTTACCAGCAAGAGATGGGTTTATTTGGGAATAAAAGAGAACTGCAATCCAGGACAAGCAAGCTGTTGCAAAACCATAGGCAAACTCTGGGGAATGAAGGAGAGGTATGCTTTTTTAAGGAGAAAGGGGGTAAGTTGGGAAGGTTTTTATGAATTAAAAGTTGACTGGAGTAAATTGGGGAGTTCGAAGTGTGGCAGCTTTTCATTGGCTGAATTTTTGGTTGGAGGGGTGGTCAGGATAAGGAAAGCATCTCTTTCTCTGGCTGGAATAGCAGAGTAGTGAGTGTCCAGGAGCAAGGGCAAGTATGCTCCTCTTGGGTCTGCAGTAGACTACAAGGTGGTAGGGCATGAGAGCTCCCCCTGCTGACACCTCCAGACTCCATTTTAGTGAGGTTTCCCCCTATTAATTTCTTTTTTTTTTTTTTCTTGAACTGGTAGCACATCTGCAAGTGGTATCTTAAGAATTCACTTCAGCATTTCCAGCCTTTCTTCTGCTCCCACCGCATTTTTAATCATTTATCAAAGGGTAAAGGAACGTCTTTAAAACACGATTGGCACAAAATTTCAAGTCACCTGAATGGTTTTAAAGTATTGATGTGAAATTTTGACAGCTGAATTGCCCTTCTTACATGTTTTCTGTTACTACAGTGTAATGGAAGGGATCATAAATTTTCCTAGATATTCCATCATGTTAACACTTCATCTCATTAAATGTCTCACAATTAAAAATTTGTATGTCATTTGATCAGAAAATGCTTTCAATTTCCAACAAAACATAACTTTAGAAAAAAAAAATCAACATTATATTAGCTTTGAGGTTAATAAGAACAGTTACAGAACAGAGGACAAACATACCAAGAAAAGCCAGAAAAAATAAAGAATAATAAACAGTCTTACAAAGTTAAAATTTCTTGCCAAATTAGAACTCCCAAACCAAAAATAATTAATCTTTTCATTAAATGTTAATGTATCTCCATTTTGAAAAATGAGCTTTGAAAGGCCTAGTCACACATGACTAAAAATGATGAACTATTGTATACAGAGCCAAACTAGTAGAGGAAAGCAGTAACCTTTGGGACAGGGAACACTAATATAGAAAGTGTTAAAGGACTCTTAATACAGAATTAAAAAGTTTTCTATTTGGTCATTTTTAATAGCTTTTCTAATAAAAGAGAATTATTTTATGAAATTAAAATGGAAATACTGATCATATCTCACTCTCTTAAAACTTTCTCAGTTCTACATAGGGGAGGCCAACTGGAATGTATAAGCAGACAGCAGTTTTTCCTGCCCTTAATGCCTTTATCAGCATGCCAATAATACATCTAGTGTTCAACTGGCTAGTTAGAGACCCCTTTATAGATAGGAAGGATGCCTCTCTTCTTAAGTTTCAGTCTTGCAAATCATACTTCTGTGATAAGTAGATAAATACTAGATAGTATACATTTTCAGGTGGATTTTGTTTAAATACGGATGAAAGCCAGAAGAAAACCATAGCAATATATCATAATAAAACTACATTCTGTTACTCAAAGAAACATCTAGGAAAATAGACGGTTGTAAAATTTTAGCATAGATCTCTAAAAAACTATTCTTATTGTAGTATGGTGTAATCTGATTACAAAATGTCAGAATTGTTTAAAAAGGGAAAATTACACTTACTTTGTTCAGTCTAACTCTAAAACATTTTAGCTAACGTTTTTTCCCTACTGAAATAAAAAGATTTTATACTTAACTCAGTATTAACACAACAATTCAAACTAGTGGTAGATGAGTTGTCAAATTGAAGGTCTATTTGAGAAAATCTGTCTTTCAACCCAAAGCTATCAATGATAACATTAAATGTAAGTGGTCTAAACGCTCTCGTTAAGTTGGAGATTGACAGACTGGATACAAAAAAAAATCAAAACTCAACTCTATGATGTTTACAAGAAACCTATTTTAAATACAAAGATGTAGATAGGTTAATGAAAAAGAATGAGAAAAGATATAATGTAATTATAATTCACGTAACAGTGACAGTGAGGAAATAGCAATATTATAATCATAGACTATTTAATAGTCTAATGTGAAGAATAATGTTATCAATATTTCTGCTCATTGGGGAAAACTGTTTTCAGCTTAAATATAATCTAAAAATACAGTTTAGGAGTACCAACAAGAATAGTAAGTGGATAAATAAGGATTATAAATAGCTACACATCATTTATGGTCTGTTTTAGCCATCAAATAGGTTTAGTTCAAGGCCTTTAGGCCTTTAATTCTTCCATGAATTTCTATGGTTCTTAAAATTACACAAGTAAAATTATGCTTCAATATTATCCATCTGAATAACAAGGAGTCCACTGATTCCCATCCATAATTGGTCAAGGGTTACAGCATGAGGTAGGTGTTAAGCTTCAATTTCAAATTTCTCATGCTTGGGTGGTATTCAGTAGATGTTGCATATCCAGCATCAGAGAATCCAGAAGTAAGAATTCAAGGTGTATCTGTGTCAGAGGCTACCAGGTTATCCCTACATGAAGCTAGTTGTCATTTCAATGCTTGAAGTAAAAGAAAGACCAAGAGAATGTGAGATAGGGCTCTAGAGCTGTGCAGATCAAATGCCCAACAGACATCTCAATCATAACATGTCTAAAACCTATATTATTTATTTTTACCCGTCTCCAAATACATTCATCCTATAATTCTTCCTGTATTCATAAATAGCGACCCCATCCTACCAGTTGCTCAAGAAAAAATAACAATAATCTTAACTGAAGTAGGCATATTGTTAGCTAGGCTGTTGAAGTGGAAAACTGAGGAAATGTGATATTACTACATATGAACCAGGTCATATTTATACCTATGTCAAAATAATTTGCTTTTATAAAGTATGACAGAAAAAATACTTCTAGAAATCCCTCCACATGCTGAGGTGTACATTCACTCCTCAGTATTTAGAGATCAGTGGAGACTATCTCTTAGGGGATTACTTGAGTTGAAGAATAGATTAGAAAAATAAAGAGTCATGGGGCGCCTGGGTGGCTCAGTTGTTAAGCGTCTGCCTTCGGCTCAGGTCATGATCCCAGGGTCCTGGGATTGAGCCAGGCTCCTTGCTCAGTGGGAAACCTGCTTCTCCCTCTCCCACTCCCCCTGCTTGCGTTCCCTTTCTCGCTGTCTCTTTCTCTGTCAAATAAATTAATAAAATAAAATAAAAATAAGAGTAATATGAATTACTTAATATTGCAAAATGTTCCTTATATATCCAAGTACAAGTGTTTCGAATATAACATAAATTTGTGAATAACTCTAGAAACATAAACTGGAGCATGGAGAGAAACAAGAAAATGGATATTCAGCAGTTCTTGCAGTTTTTAATTATGCAGGAATTGATTGCATGCTACCTGAAAGACAGAATTTGACAAGTTAATTTTTCTTTTCTCTATGTAAGCACTAATGTCTTTCCAATACTTCTTGCATTCCTTTCAGCAGTGACACCACTCAGAAATCTTCACCATATTCACACATAGTCATCCTTTGCTTTAAAGACATTAAACAAATATTTCCCTGGGGCCTGATAAAAAGAGGTGTTTAGCGTTATAAAAGCTGTGTGGATCCTAAGTGAAAGAGGCACCTCTAAATTCTTCAATAAGTTTTGAGTGTTTGTGATATGTGGGGCTGGAGCAGGAGGACTCTTCTGGTCCAGTTCTTGGGGTGTATCCATAGTGAGGTTTGTCTTCCTGGTCATTGGAGATTTCTGCGGACATCAGATGTGGACATTTCTCTTGTTATACAGAACTACCCTGTGCGTTTCAGTTTTCTAAACTATCTGATCCCTACCTACCCAAATCCAGTAACACCCACCAATCATTGTACGAACCACAGAGCCTTTTACACATTTCCTAAACATCTCCTGGGGGGGACGGGGAGATGTTGCTTCTATCGTTATATTTTGCCGTAGAGTCAGACACGTGAGAGGTGAACTGGCACAATTTAAACATGACTTCATTTGAACCTACAGGCTTGTTAATTTAGCAGCATTTGGTGCATAGCCCTAGAAAAGTGAGATAGTAAGCAGAATATTTGAACAACAAAGGGATTCTGCTGCATAGCCTCCCATGCTTGATTTCCTTTCTTTTCTTTTTTTTTCTCCTACATAACAATTTCTCCAGAGAATTAGAACCATTAAGTGGCTCATTCACCTTTCCTTGTATTCTTACAGCAGTTTATCTATATTGGCCAACAGGAAGGATTACTAAGAAATATGAAGGTCTGGGGTGCCAGGGTGGTTCCGTCAGTAAAGTGTCTGCCTTTGGCTCAGGGTCCAGGAATCGAGCCCCCCCCCCCCCCCGCAACCAGGTGGGTTCCCTGCTCAGTGGGGCATCCACTTCTCCCTCCCCCTCTGCCCCTCTTCCCCACCCCCACCTCCCTCCCCCACCACTCGTGCTCTCTCTCTTTCTCTCAAATAAATAAATAAAATCTTTTAAAAAAATCTTTAAAAAAAATATGTAGGTACTGGATAGCAAGACTGTGGCAAATATACTCTGTTCCTATTACTATGATACATGAGACAGAGCACTGAGTGTCAGCATCCAAGTACTCTCCTGCTGAAAAAGATGGGTCTTCTCTGTCCTCAAAACACATTCCAGACACCCACCACTAGGTGAGCTAACTTGGTACAGAAGATGAAACCTATTTGTATATAAAGTTTAAGAAACTACTAATAAGGCCCCAATTTAATTACATGTTGTGGTTAGGTTCATTTTTATAATCTTCAAAGTCTCAACAAAAGGTAAAATATAATTTTAGATACTCTTTAATCACTACAATATAGATAAAGAACAGTAACAACAAAGACATTATGGCCTGGCAGAAGAAGCCCTCAATTTATCTGATGTGTATATGTTTAGTATGTGTTTAGTTAGCCAGCCTTCTATAAAAATGTCTTTCTAAAAGATTATTTACAGCAAAATTATTAAGATATGATAAATAATATTCAGAATAACATACTGTGTTAAAAGCACACCTTGTAAAAAGCAAATTGTTTTTCTTCCTAAGCTTGTGAATCTCTTGACATAAAACAAGTAGAAATGAGAATTTGAAAAACTTCTTCAAAATCTTCTAAAACTTAATTTATTCATTTTTATAACCATGAAATTAAATAATGATTGATTAATGAAAATAAAAATTGGAAGATTAATGTTCTGATGCAAAGAAAAATATTTGGGTGGCCTTCACATATACAGACACTGGACCAGACTCTCACATTACATTTGCAAAGCAATACTATTTTTTTATATATACTGCCAATACCTCCAGAATCATGGGAGTTTTAAAAACACAATCTTTTCTAGGAAAAAAGGCAAAACTATACAGGAATTTATAACTTTTGGTTCTATTATTCTACAACTAAGAATTCATCATAATGAAATAACGGAACAGAAAGCACACATACTCACACACACACATTCACAGATACATGCACAGGATCATATAGTAATATAATCTTTAGCATAAAAATATAAAGGTATATATAGATAGTAGGTAGCAGATGGATAGAAAACAACACAAATGTTTTAAAAGAAGGAATAGCCTAGCAAATTATGGAATAGGAACACAGAATAGGATTGGAATTCATAATTATGGAGTCTCTCAAGAGAAGGAGAAATGTTTGTAATAGGATTTCAAAAGCAGACAAGCCATGTGCTCAGTGACTACAATTCATCAAATGCATTTGCATACAGAGAGTCTGACCATAGTTTATATATGCTTTCTTTTTATATATTTGCTTTTACTTGGCATGTCAATTTTTAATATTTGTGAAGCAAATTTAAAATTAGTGAAGCAGTTTTTTTTATCATTAAGAATACATACAACAAATTAGAGATATACATAGACAAAAAGCAAATTATTTTTTCTATCCAAATAAAATTATTTTATTATCACATATGAATTTTGTTCACTCTCCGTATGCATCAGGCAGGCAAAGTCACAGTGTAAACCCTCATCTCTGCTAATAAGTTCATTGGAAAACGTGGGGCCAGGCATCAGGTCGCGTTTCTTGAGCCAGAATATCGTTGCAAAAGAACCAGAAAAGAAGATTCCTTCCACAGCAGCTAAGTCCACAACCCGTTCCCCGTAGGTAGCCTCTTTGTCCCCAGTCCAATGCAAGGCCCAGTCTGCCTTCTTCTTTACACAAGGCATTGTCTCGAGGGCGTTGAAGAGAAATTCCCTTTCTTCGGAATCTTTAACATAAGTGTCAATGAGGAGACTGTGCATCTCAGAATGGATGTTTTCCATGGCAATTCGGAAGCCATAGAAACAGTGGGCTTCTGTAATCTGAACTTCTTGGCTAAACCGCTCCACCAAGTTTTCATTTACTATGCCATCACTCCGCGCAAAGAAAGCCAGAACGTGGGATAGAAAGTATCTCTCCTCAGGCTTCAGGGATTCCTGGTGCTGAATGTCCTTGGAAAGAGCCACCTCTTCAGCTGTCCAAAAGCAAGCCTCAGCTTTCTCATCCATCTGCCAAATATCAAGGTACTCGACAGGGAAGATGACAAAGCGACGAGGGTTTTCTCTCAGTAGTGGCTCGTCCTCCACGCGGGGGCCAAGCACCTTAGCCTTCGGCTCGGCGGGCTCCTGGAAGGTCCTCCTGGCCGTCTTGCCGGCCAGCACGCAGGTCCCGCTGGGACTCGGGGGCCTGTTCTCGTCGTCTGCCAGGCTGAGCCCCTTGAGGGGCGATGATGGGGGTCCACGATGGTGGCGAGAGGGACGCAGATGGAGAGCATGGCGGCGGCGAGGGACACGGCAGGCGAGGCAGCGCGCAGGTCCTCGAGTCAATGATTGTTAATGAGACAGACAAGCGCTCCCTCAGGAATGTTCAGAATGTGTGTTCAGAGAAGAAATCCTTCCAAAATTATAAACAACGCAGCTTATCCCGATATATATAATACTGCCCCTCTTCATTCCCTTGGTCACCTTAATGTCTGATCCAGTGCCATTGCAACTAAATGGGTGAAAGGAAATGCCAAATTCAGATAGAAAACTTAGGCAAAAGTAAAGAGATAGAGGGAAGGAAGGAAGGAAGGAAGGAAGGAAGAAGGAAGGAAGGAGGGAAGGAAGGCAGGCAGGCAGGGCTGGACGGAGGGAGGGAGGGAGAGTGAATGTGGCATGGGAATTAGATACTGGGAATAGAATACCACATATTAAACCCTCAACCTCAAAAACATAATGGCAGGTGTGGGGCTGAGGTCCCCTGAAAAATGACTGTGATGACTGTGTGGCACAATGTGATTGGCAAATTCATATATAAATATATATGAATATATATTACATATGTATTATATATGTATTTTTATGAATATCACGACTTAGATTTTTCATCTTTTTTTGGACTTCGTTCTTGAAAGCCTGATGTGGCTTAATTTTCACAATTCTAATTCCATCTCATATGATGAATCTGATATTTTGACATTTTCATGGCCTCTTGTTCCTGTGTCCTCCTCCTTGTCCTGGTGTTAAGTGTCTTCAGGGAACAACACAGTCATTCTCCGCCTTTAGCTTCGCTTCCTTTAACCTGTTTTTAAGGTGAATTATGGCCTCACTGTCTACTTCACTTTATTTTGTCCGGTTCACCTTGGCTTATGCCTGGCTTTCCTTCTAAGTAAGTAGGCATTCGACCCCTCTCAATCAGTATTTTGTCATGAATCCAAACAACTGAACTTAGCGCTGGTGGTGATTTTCAGGCTGGCAAGACTGTCTTGAGAGGAGGTTGCTTTCAGCTGGGTGTAGTGGGAGTGATTGGCAGGAAGTTGGCCTCCGGCATATCTCCCCTACTTAATCAAGGCGGAAAAACCATTTGTGAATTTCATCACCATCTTCAACAACCTAATTTGGAAAAAAAAAAAAAGCTGCCACTTGTCAAGTTTTGTACTGCAAAGCATCAAGAAGAAAATCAATAGAAGATGCACTGTTAAAGTCAATTAAATAACATCAATCACCTCACCTTGATATAATGAAAACTGATTGTGAATTAGTGCTTTGCGATGCTTTTGTAAACAAGAATAATTTTTTTTTTCCTTCTGCTGAGATACAGTAACCTTCTACTCTCAGTAGATGTAACAGAATAGAAGGTCTCAAGTGCAAGGAGGAGATGGACTTCAGAATCTGTTTCAGCAACTCACTGAAATCAGCAAGGACCCAGTTGGTTTCTTTCTCTCTCCTCGTTTTCATCAGTGTCAAATTATGCTAAGGTTTGCTCTTTTGTTATCATGATGGTTGCTTTCAGCTTCTGAAGCAACATACTTCATTGTCCATACCCTGAAGGACTGCAAGATTCCCTACTATATCCTTTGAACCGAAATCTCTGGCTTCACACCTGCTTGGTGGACCTCAGTGACAACCCTGAGCCAGTCCTCGTGAATGGTGATTGCCGTGCACTGAGGTACACAGGCCTAGGTTGTTAGTTCTTCCCCCAAACATGGAAATAGCAAGGTCGAAGGGACCTTGCTAAGTGGATAGGCCCAGCTAAGCCCACTCTCAGGACAAAGTGGCACAATCAGTCCTGCTGGTCCCTGGGCAGGAATCCAAGCAGAGCCAGACTGCTGAGACATGGCTGCGAGTCTGGAGGCTCCACAGGTGTCCTGTTAGGGCTCTATTTGTTCTATTACTTTATTTTCTTGAATTTCCCCATTTCTGGATGGTAATTAATGATTGGAAAATCCAAAACAGAAAAAAATTCCCCAAAAGAAAAAGTTGTCTTAGCGGATAGATTTATCACCATTGTAACTAGAAGTTTATTTTCATTAGTTCCAACAAATTTTTAAAACAGGAGTCAAATAGAGAAAAAGATAAGTGAGAAGAGATTAACCTCAAACCCCTCCACACACACTGCAATCTTAAATTCTCACTATATTATATATCTCTCTATATATGTATACATAACATGTATATATATAAATTCTAGTTAAATAGTTCATTTAAACTTAATTTTTATATTTATTTATTTATTTTAGATTTTACTTATTTATGTGAGAGAGAGAGAGAGAGCATGAGCAGGGGCAGAGGGAGAGGGACAAGCAGACTCCCTGCTGAGCAGGGAGCCTGATGCAGGACTTCATCCCAGGACCGTGAGCCGAAGGCAGAGGCTTAACTGACTGAGCCACCCAGGTGCCCTAAACTTAATTTTTATACAGTAAATTATACTTTAACCTTACCATTTATTAATGATACATTTGTCTCATCTGCCTTTTTAAAAACTACTAGCTTTGCTAGTTTTAGTCTGATCTTCCAAACAATAGGAATGAAATTATAATATTAATTACTCATGATACGTCAGAACAATCTGAAACTTTATTAGGATGTTTACCCATAAAAAATTTAAACAGATTACTTTTTAGGAGGCAATATAAAAATATATTTTATATTTTATATATATATTTTAAATATATACATATATTTATATATGTTTGTGTATATATATATATATATATATATATATATATATATGTACATATATACCCATCCTGTGTTAAATATGTACTTGGTAAATGCATGCACATTTCCATTTTTTCATAATTAGACCTCCATCTTTAATTTCACAGCAACTGATTGCAAATGATTCTGGGAATGAACTTAGTAAGGACAGGCAGTTCTAGGAACACACAGAGGGCTTGATTAACTTGAGAAGTAGAAGAGTTTTTAGCTCTCTCTAAGATGTTTGTGACTGATTTGGAAGCTTCTGGATATAGCAAGAAAACATACTTTGGAAGTCTAGAAAATAAAATTGCCATAATTAGGTGGCAAGTGCATAATGGTTCATAACCTGGGAAGCTAATAACCTGCCTTACCAGAATTAAAAGTATTTTTTTTTAAGATTTATTTATTTATTTGAGAGAGAGAGAGAGAGGGGCAAGGGGCAGAGGGAGGCAAAGAAAGAATCCCAAGCAGACACCTTTGCTGAACGCGGAGCCCTACTTCAGGCTCCATCCCACGACCCTGAGACCAACACCTGAACTGAAATCAAAAGCTGGATGCTTAACCGACTGAGCTATCCAGGTACCCCCAGAATTAAAAGTATTTTAAATGGTAGAGATCAAGTAAATACAATTATGCCACATACACCTTTTTTTAAGATATGTTGGATAAAGTTTTTATTTTTATTTTTATTAAATTAATTAATTTATTTATTTATTAGGATTTTATTTATTTATTTGACAGAGAGAGAGAGAGATAGCGAGAGCAGGAACACAAGCAGGGGGAGTGGGAGAGGGAGAAGCAGGCTTCCCGCCGAGCAGAGAGCCCGAGCCCGATATGGGGCTCGATCCTAGGATGCTGGGATCATGACTTGAGCTGAAGGCAGACGCTTAACGACTGAGCTACCCAGCCTCCCCTGTTGGCTAAAGTTTTTAATCATAAAAATAGTTTTGAATCCCAGCAGTAATAATTATTAGCTATATGAGTTTGAGCAATATACTTAACCTCTCTGAGCTTCTATTTCCTCCACTACAAACTGAAGATAGTAAGATCTACTCCATAGCGTTGCCAGGAAAATTAAATAACATAATGTGTATCAGTCTCTCAGTGCTGGCCTAAAACATCATAGATGTGCAAAGAAATGGCAGTTTCTCTTTTAATTTATTAAATAAAAACAGATACTCAGAAGACTTTTGCTATACAGTCAGAAATAAGACAAAACGGCTATGGGAAATCTATATCCCAAATTTCCTTTGAACATTAAAAATCAATTTAGTTACATACACATACACACATATGCATGTATACATGGGGATATCTATATCTATATCTATATCTATATAGATATATGTATTCTTTAGGGCCATATGAATCAATGGGAGATTTGAAAAGTTATAAGAAAAGCACTTTCCATCAAGGCCATCACACTCTGATTTGGAAGCTACACTGCAGGTACAGACTTGGGAGAGATCAATTCTAACTGAACAATTGTAATTTGATACATTTTTTGAACAACATAAAGCCAGGCAGTGCAAAGATTTTTGTGATTGATCCATTCTTGTACTGAAGACCGTTTTATTTACAGACAGAATCAATATGGAGGGGCAGTACATTCTAAATAAGAGTTTCAGGGAATCTTATTCTTTGAGGACGGTTATTTGTAGATATTTGACTGACATTTGCTCTTCAAAAGTGAAAGTAGAAAGCTTTTTAAATAAAAGCTTTTAAAATAAAAAGCAAGAACACAGAAGGATTTGTGTTCCCGTAAATCTAGCCTCAGTCTCAGCCTCATAAATATTCTAACAAAACATTCATAATGTTAATTAATTAGTAAACACCAGTTGTGCTTGGAAGATTTCCCATGTTGGAGTTAAAGTTCTTAACTGGGATGTTATAATGTACCTTATGCTGGTGCCAACAGGCAAGGGAAACTGTATGTTGTTCATTGAAGCCTAATGGATATCTGTATCGGTTACATAGAATTCTATTAGACATATTTTTCGTAAATTACTTAATAACTCTGCTACTACATAATATTTAGATGGTTTCCAATTTTTTGCTACTACTATAACATTGCAGTGAATATTCCTATTCTTTTTCTTTTTTAAATTTTTTAAAGGATCTTGTTTATTCATTTGGAGAGAGAGAGAGAGAGAGCACATGCAAGCAGGGGGAGAGGCAGAGGGAGAGGCAGAGAATCCTCAAGCAGACTCCATGCTGAGTGTGGAGCCCAATGCGGGGCTGCATCTCACAACACTGAGATCATGACCTGAACTGAAACAAGGAGTCCGATGCTTAACCACCTGAGCCACCCAGGTGCCCCTGAATATCCTTATTTATATAAGTTCACAAAGGTAGGGATATTTATAAGGAGTGGTCATTAGGTCAGTGCACTGTGCATTTTTGAAATGCATGTTGACAAATTTTCCTACAAAGTTACTTCACCAATGTATATACACAACATTGGTGAGAACCCCTATTTCCCTTTCACCAACACTTTATTTACCAAAGTTTATGATCTGTAGATAAATCATACTTTGTGTGTGTGTATGTGTTCTATGTATAACACCATAAAATTCCTTTTAGGGGAGCCTGGGTGGCTCAGTCGTTAAGCGTCTGCCTTCAGCTCAGGTCATGATCCCAGGGTCCTGGGATCGAGCCCCGCATCGGGCTCCCTGCTCCCCGGGAAGCCTGCTTCTCCCTCTCCCTCTGCCTCTGCTTGTGTTCCCTCCCCCTGCTTGTGTTCCTTCTCTCGCTGTGTCTCTCTCAAATAAATAAATAAAAATCTTTAAAAAAAATTCCTTTTAATAGGATTTTTCCAATTTTATTTTAGGATTTTATTTAGGATTTTTACAATTATTCTCAACATGTTATTTATCTCTCATTTTACTTTCTTACATTCTTCTGTAGGGGCAAGTTGATATAAAGATTTTATGTTTTATAAAATATGTGTAGGATCCTTCTCTCTTTTCCTATCATCTTGAATATAAATAGGGCTTTCTATGCCCTGAACACACAGAAAAATTTGCCTATGAAATTCTTAGAACATGGTGTTTTATTTCTATTAGATTTTGACTATTGTTCCTGTTTCTTTAATGGTACAAATCAAGCCTCATTGCTTTCACATATGATTCAAAAAAACAACTTTACTTTTGTCTGTGTTTTACATAGGGATTCTGTATGGGCACTAACTTTAATAGAGCCCTCTTCTGAAAACAAATGTTTGGAATTCACTGATCAGTTTTATTCATTCCATTACAAATAAAGAAACTGATGAAACGTGGTCAGTGTGTTGGTAGAGAAGGAGATCCGACAGTGTGATTACTTCGAACCCCTGATCATATTGTTGTGATATTCTCTTCCTTTAATTTGCATTCCTCTGACTTTACTGGTTTGCAAGCATTAGGAGGCAC